GTCGAGTCTGCAGTGGCCGGGAGCGGCCACTGCACTCCAGCCTGGGTGACGGAGTGAAACTCCAACTCAAAAAAAAAAAAAAAAAAGAAAAGAAAAACAGTGTCCTTCAATAGCAAAATAAAATGAGATTTTTAAAAAACTAAACATCAATGAGGGTATAAACTAATGATAATATTCATTGATGGCAAAGATCTGAGTGGCACTATTATGCTCCACCGGTGATCTTTAAAGATCATTTGACAATAAATAACCTTAAAAGGACAGAAATGTATCCTAAGGAAAAAGCTGGACCAGGCGCGGTGGCTCAAGCCTGTAATCCCAACACTTTGGAGGCCAAGGTGAGAGGATTGCCTGAGCCCAGGGCCTCAAGATCCATCTGTGCAACTTGGCAAGACCTTGTCTCTACAATAAAAAAAAAAAAAAACTAGCCAGGCACGGAAGCACAAGCTCCTGTAATTCCAGCTACTTGGAAGACTGAGGCAGAAGGATCACCTCAGCCCAGCAGGTCAAGGTTGCGGTGGCCGTGAGCATGTCACTGCACTCCAGCCTGGGTGACAGAGGGAGACTCCAACTCAAAAAAAAAAAGGTTAAAATGCACCCAACAATTAAAAAGGAATTCCATGTCCAAGTGCAGATGGTTGGGACCTGTTCAGTCATGACTACTCTTGATTATTAAATTATCTTCAGCCGGGCTCGGTGGCTCAGCCTGTAATCCTGCACCTTTGGGAGGCTGAGGTGAGTGGATTGCAAGCCCTCATCTCTACAATAAATCAAAAAATTTGAGGGGCGTGGTAGTGCATGCCTGTAATTCCGGCTACTTGGAAGGCTGAGGCGGAAGGATCGCCGGAGCCCAGCAGGTCGAGGCTGCGGTGGCTGGGAGTGGCCACTGCACTCCAGTCTGGGCGACAGAGTGAGACTCCAACTCAAAAAAAAAAAAATTATCTTCAACAAGCCGGGCTTGGTGGCTTAGTCTGTAATCCCACGTTTTGGGAGGTTGAGATGAGTGGATTGCCTGAGCCCGTGGGTTCGAGACCCGCCTGGGCAACTTGGCGAGACCTCATCTCTACAATAAATCAAAAAATCAGTTGGGCGTGGTAGCGAATGCCTGTACTTCCAGCTACTTGGAAGGCTGAGGCGGAAGGATCGCCAGAGCCCAGCAGGTCGAGGCTGCGGTGGCCGGGAGCGGCCATTGCACTCCAGTCTGGGCAACGGAGTGAGACTCCAACTCAGAAAAAAAAAAAAAAAAAGACATTATCTTCAACATACTGTACATATCTGATGGTGTATATTCAAACCATAACTACATTTTATGTACAGAAAAGTTTAAGAGGCTCTCAGCTAATAAAATGAAGCAAAACAAAGTCTACATAAAATGGTCACTCAAACCACAGTGAGCTTATAGTACCTCTTACAATTCTATCAGTACCTGGCAGATGGGTGAGAAATTCAGCTTTGCTTCTACTTATCTGCAATTTTTAATATATTGCATTTTTGTCTTTCATCTCAGCAACTTGAACTTACATTAATTGTTTTGTTTGGGATAGTAAAAATAAAATGAAATTCACTCTACTCTGAAGTTTCCCTCTGAAGAAAAACTTGATAAACCGGAACTCATCCAAATTAAACATTTTGCTATGTGAAAAATCATGTGAGGAGGGTGAAAAGACAAGTTAGAGACTGGGAGACAATATTTGTAAACCACACATCTAACAAAGGACTGGTATCAAGAATAAAGGACTCTCAAATCACAACAGTAAAAATACAAACAATCTGCTTACAAAATAGACAAAAGACATGAGTAGACATTTCACCAGAAAAGGTATACAGATGGTCAAGCAGCACATGAAAGATGTTCAACAACAATGCCAAGAGGGGAAGTGTAATTTAAAACCACAATGAGATATCACTGCATACTTATCAGACTGGCTGAAATAAAAAATAATAACACCACTACCAAATGCTGATAAGGATGTGGAAAAATTGGACCACTCACACATTGTTGCGGGTAATGCAACATGGTACAGGCACTCTGAAAAAATGAAGCAGTTTTTAAGAAAAAAACGAAATAAGCAACATACAACCAGTATGCACTATTAGGAATTTATTCTACAGAAATGCAAATCTGCATTCCCCTCACCCCTCTCCCACACACAAAAGTCTGTATATGGATGTTCATAGCTTTATTCATAACAGTCAAAACTTGGAAGCAACACATATGTCCTTCAGCAAGTTCATGGTTAAGCATGGTACATTCATCCATACCACAGAACACTATTTAGCAATAAAAAGAAATGATCTACTGATATCTGCAATAACTTGAACAAATCTCTAGAGGATTGTACTGAGTGAGGCAAAAAAGTCAAAATCTAAAAGATTACATACTATATGATTGTTTTTGACATGACAAAATTATAGAAATGGAAAACAGATTAGTGGCTGTCTGAGGTTAGAAATGTAGTGGGTAGAGCCAAGAAAAGTGAGTCTGTTTATAAAAAAATTAACATGAGAAATCCTTGTGGTGATGAAACTTCTCTGTGTCTTGACTACATTAACATCAATATCTTGGTTATGATCTCGCACTGTCAGTTTGAAAGACATTACTGCCTGAGAAACTGGATAGTCTAGAGGATCTTTTTGTAATATTTCTCACAACTGAATGTAAATCTACAATTATCTCAAAATAGAATGTTCAATTATATATTTTTTAAAGACCAAAAGCTGTAGAGATATTTAACCAAGATCTTAAAATTACAGCCTAATCTAACAATTGTCATCTACATTCTTCTCCAGTTCTTTTTTTTTTTTTATGCCATCAGATCACAGTCTAATTAACCACTATACTGAGTAACTTTAAGAAGGCAAGTTACAAGAGCCATTGGTAAGAGTTCAAGCACAAAATCCTTTTCAGGATGGAGATTCAGCCATGAAAATTAACATTCTGAGTACTATGGTTGGCAAAGAGAGTCTTATCAAAATCTCGCTTATGTCTGAATAACAGATGAGACAATTGGCTCCCTTAAAATATTACCACCACCAAAGGACTGTAATTACAGTGGGAATGACTGTCACTTTGCTTGTTCAAATAAAGGATGTGGAAAATAGGTTTCTTGCTGTCATTCTATTATTGGCAACCTCTCGCTTTTGTACATGCCCCAAGAATGTGTTCAGAAACTCAACATGCTAAAGCTATGCAAAAACTATGCCCACTACAAGAAAAAATATTTTCGCCAAGGAAAATATTTTAATTTTCCTCATTATGTCTCACTTTTCAGACCCAATCTTCAATAAGAGCATTTCTAACTTTTTGTTTTTAATTTGTAAATTTTCTTCACAGTTGAACTAGTATCTGCTTGGCTTATGTCCAAAGTCTGTTGAATGCCAAGTTGAAGACAACTACAGCATGCTTAATGATTTCCATCTTTGACTCATCTTTGCTAAGTCTAGGGGACTTTCGTTTCTCATTTTTTGTTTCTCTTTTGATGTATTAAGTAGCAAGGGCAAAAGTGCAATGTTATAATTAAATAACAGCAAAATATACTATCATATAAATTCATATGCAACATTTCTAGAAGTCACTGTGGAATAAACTAAAACATGTTGATTTTTTGGGAGATAAGGAAAATTCACATTTGGTTTGTAAAAAGGCAGCTTAGAATGTCAAACTGTAATGTCCAAATACATGGTACAAAAGTAGACAATACAAATGTTGATAGTGATCTATGCAGTCAAGATCCAGCCTTCATTGTCATGTATCAGACATCCCTGATTCAGCATCACTCAAGATCACTATTAAATAAAGTAGGTTCCTAAGACTAGCCAGGGCCTACTGAATAAAAAACTCTTGGGGTGGGACCAGACAAATTTGCTCC